CAGGCTGATGTCAAGCTAAGGTTGCCTTTTGCCTCTAGCAAAGTATTAGCATCAAGGCAGTTGAGTTCCTGGAGGAAAGTCACCCTGCCTGTCTCAGACTTGTCAATGGGCTGAAACGGAAAATTTAATTTTTTCTAGATTTCTTTTGCCTTTGTTCTCCACATCGGTTAGGTTAAAAAACTTAATAAGCACTGCTATGCTAACCACTTAGTAGACAGGTGGAACAATAATACACATAAATTGAAAGAAAAATATTTTTATTCCACTCTTAAATAGCTCTTATTCCTTACTAATGGGATGTGGTTGCCTGTTGGGCACTTCACAACTTGTCAAATCTTGGACTCTGATTGAACAGCACCTCTTTTCTTTCCTGTTCCACATTGATTTTTATGCAGCACTTTTTTTTTTTTTCACGGCAACTGTCAAAAACTCAGCTTCACACCGTTAGGACTTACCTGAAAAGAATAAATTGTGATTTAATGTTGACATCGTGAACTACTGTAAACAGTTTGCACCATGTCTGATAGATGTCGCTGTGTTTCCCTTGAAACTTTAAAATATCCTGTACTGCCCCTGTGCATGTGCTGTGGTACTCTGGGATGCCTCAGTACACATTTTGGAAGCTGTGGGCCTAGGCGTTTGTTAGAAAAGCAGACTCTCAGACCCCACTGGGGACTAACTGGACCCGAATCATCATTTGACAGAGATCCCCAGGTGATTTATGTGCAATTAAAGTTTGAAAAGCACTGCTCAAAGCCACCTGTTATTATGAAAAATTTGTTTCGTTTTAGGACTGGGAAAGACAAATTAGATCACTCACTGGCTCTCTTGAAATTATCATTTTTTTTTTAACATTTATTTATTTTTGAGACAGAAAGAGACAGAGCATGAACGGGGGAGGGTCAGAGAGAGAGGGAGACACAGAATCGGAAACAGGTTCCAGGCCCTGAGCCATCAGCACAGAGCCCGACGCGGGGCTCGAACCCACGGACAGTGAGATCGTGACCTGAGCCGAAGTCAGACGCTCAACCGACTGAGCCACCCAGGCGCCCCGAAATTATCATTTTTAAGTAATCATGGAATTCTTAAGCCCTAGACTCCAGCTGAGAAGAGATGCTAGCCACGTCACCCACATCCTGTTCTTTGATCGGTCTCTACTCTGAGTAATTAGAGGAACATGATGACTTTTGTCAGGCATCTCTGAAAAGTGGGAAGCCTGAGCTTGGGCTCCCTTTGTACTTACTATAATCCTTCCCACCAGTTCACAGACAGGGCTTTTGAAACTACTGGGTCACTCATGAAAGCCTTTCAAGTGGTCTCTTGTGACAGGTGTGTTGCTAAGATACAGTTTGGGCACTAAAGGATACTTTTGTTACATTTAATTTAAATATGTCCCTTGCCATTTATTCATTCTGGTAGATTTGGACTGTTTTCCTCTCACATTTTATTTTATTTGTTGGTTGGTGTGTAATTTTTTTGCTTACTCTTCGATTTTGTGGGTTGTTATTTTGTAGAGGTTTACAGAGTTCTGGTCTCATACTACCCGTGTGACCACAACAGCCGCTCAGGGAATTCACAACAGCCAAGGGTATATGATGTTCTTCTGGCCTGCCCTTGTTAAAGCTGCAGTTACGGCTTCCCAGAGACTGATGGGATGCTCTCTGGGGGTGTCAGAGAGGAAACCTTGTGTCTCCTGCTAGCACAGAATATATGAGCTTTTCTTTGTCCTGATGGGTGCATTCTAGACCTTGAAGTAGACTGACCTTGAGCCTACCAGTGAGAAAGGTGAAAGCTACATGAATCAGGAGAGGATGTGGGATTAGAAATGCCTCAGTGACCCCGTATTCATGAGAAGTGAATAAACAAAGGCTATTTGCCACCCAGAAAGGCAATGCTTCCCTTCTCAGCAAGTTTCCTGCCTTCCTTACTAATGCTCCTTAAGTCTTCTTGTCCCTTCCCAGGCTTGGACTTTATACAATACCAGAAAAACAGGCAAAACAAGTGATTTTTGCTTTCTTCTCTCACCCTACACCTTCCTGCTCATTATAACGAATAAGAATTGTAATTGAATGAAGGGGGTGGCTTCTGTGAGGAAACAATGAGAATAACACTGGACACCTGTCTTCATCTCGTTTATTCCAGACCAGCCTTAACAGCATGATGAGTGTTTACAGCGAAACAGGAGACTATGGCAACGTGAAGGTCAGTGGTGAAATCCTTCTTCACATCAGCTACTGCTACAAAACTGGCGGGCTCTACATTTTTGTCAAGAATTGCAGAAATCTGGCCATAGGAGATGAAAAGAAACAGAGGACAGATGCGTAAGCATATAGCATATACCTCAGACTCTTTCAATCCCTGCTTCCTTTGTCAGTGTGTGTGTTTTTGTTTCAGAAGACTCTTAGCTTTCCTCTTGATTCGGAGCCTTTTCAGGAGGTTGTCCCTTTTCTCCTGTGCTACACTTCTAGATATTCTCTTAGGTGTACATATAATGATTTTGTCCGTGATTATCTGAGTTTTTAAATTTTTTTTTTTCAACGTTTATTTATTTTTGGGACAGAGAGAGACAGAGCATGAATGGGGGAGGGGCAGAGAGAGAGGGAGACACAGAATCGGAAGCAGGCTCCAGGCTCTGAGCCATCAGCCCAGAGCCTGACGCGGGGCTCGAACTCACGGACCGCGAGATCGTGACCTGGCTGAAGTCGGACGCTCAACCAACTGCGCCACCCAGGCGCCCCTCTGAGTTTTTAAAAAGCTGTTAGTCACCGTGATTCAGGACTGGCACATTTGTAGTTTACGCAGAGGCAGCTGTTTGAGATAGAGGCTGGCTGACACATGGGCACACCCCAGGACGTGTGAGTGTCCTGTTCTGGGAGAACCTCCAGAGAAAATCACCAAGCTGTTAACCCACTTGAATGACTCAAAAGGACAATTTTGAGGCTCTTAGGATTCCAGGTATCAGCTGGGAGGCAGATGGGGACCATGACACATTGGAAGGGAACTAGATGAAAGATGTGTCAGTGCTTCCCAAGATCACTGCCAGGTTTGCTGGTTTACTAGGAGGACTCCCGGAACTCCACATGTAGTGATAATCAGCAAAGAAAAAAGCCATATGTGGTGAAGTTCTAAAGAATCCAGGCTTAAACCTCCAAGTGTCTTTTCCCACTGGAGTTACACAGGATGTGCTTAATTTTCCCAGCAACAAGTTATGGCAGCATATGTACAATGTTGTCCACCAGAGGAGCTCATTTAGAGACTCAGCTGGTCACATACCAAAATTCCAGTGTCCCAGAAGGAGAGCAGGTGTTCTGCATAAGCCATATTATTTTTACACATAGTTTAGTCACAGTGAGCCCCTTTATCTGTTCTGGAAGGGATGAGAATCCTCCCGGAATCCAAGTTTCCAGACGCCAGCCAACCGCTAACCTTGTAAGCAAGCGTTTCTAAGGACAGCACAATGAGGCCTGCTGTGTTATGTTACCCCTTTCCTTCATAATAGGTGACCTAGGTTCAATACACAACTCAAAGAAGCTGTTTCCAAGTGTCTTAAGATCAGAGAATAGTTTGGTCTACCTACTTCCTCAGCTAACTATCAGCGGGCTTCAGGACCAATATAGTCATTTAGAGTAGCATGGAAACAGGTCATTTAGAGCTCTGGTAGATGCGCTTCACCATCTTGTACATTGCAGTCTTGTACATTTCTAAGTCTGCCTTGACTTGGATGCCCCCGCTCCAAGAGACTCCTGGGATAGCTCAACACAAGGTGTTGGGTAGAATTGTTATTGTGACATCAGGTTATTATTTCCTATTTGTTCTTTTCCGTCATTTTCTTTCATTTACCCATCACCATTGATTCCACTCATCTTAAGGCCTGACATCTGAAGGGAGAGGAATACAACCCTGTGGTATTTTCTGAGACCATTGATCCTATAAACAGATGACATTTATTGAGTAGTATAATATGTCAGCTCCCTGTACATATCAACCAATTTAATTATTATTATATTAATTATATATTATATATATTAATTATATTATAGTTACTGTTACTATCCCAGTTTTCCAGATGAAGAAACTGAGGCATAGAGAGGTTAAGTAATTTCTTGAGTTTACCAAAACCAGTGAGGCATGGAGTGATTCAGACCTAGTTGGATCGACTCCAGAGCCCACACTATTTATCACTATACTACTTTTCTCTTATTGAAGGTCCAGAGTTATATTTTAAGGTGTCCTGCTGTGCAGACTATATTCTCTTTGGGTTTCTCATGTGTGCTGGCCTATTCCCTTCACCTCTTTTATTCGCTGAAGCCCCTATTTCTTGCAAAGTAAGTTTCCCAATAATTACTTTCATGTGTTATCGTTTACAGTTATGTCAAGTCGTACCTTCTCCCTGACAAGTCCAGAAACAATAAACGCAAGACCAAGATCAGAACAGGCACCAATCCAGAATTCAACGAGACATTAAAGGTAAGTACGTGCACTCTCATATTAACTCAGGTGATACTGTTTACACCCTCATTGGGTTTAAAAGTAACTTTGGAGGATTTGCATGTCCAGGCGTAAATATCTTTTAGAAAAGTAGAATGTGAATAAATTAGTGTAATACCCTTGGCTTTCAGAATTTGGCTAAATTTAGGCTTGTGGGTAATGAACAGTGGAGATGCAAGGTCGGATTTGGCTAGTCTCCAATCCTAGAGACATTACTTTTCCCCATGGGCTTCTATGTGACAACCCCTTCTCTCACCCTGGGCCAATCTAGCCTGGTAAGAACGATCTGAGGAGACTGGAATGTAGAAGTTATTGCTAGTTGCAGGGAAATTTATCGACCTTGTGCCCAGAGTGATGGAGTCAGAGTCCACCATAGCGGGAAATTGGTGAATGGGAACATCCATCAGTGGGGTCACGTTTAGAAGCAGGAGCCAATAAGAAGATAGATGAAAATGAAAACGAATGAATATAGGCAGGGGGTGAATCCAGTGGCCATAATAGGATAGCAAAGCTGAGCCCAAGCAGAATAGATAGAGTGACCTGGCAAATTCAGGAAGCAGGAAGCCAAGGTTAATCATGTCAGGAAAAGTAAGGACAGGTAAGGATGTCAATCCAAGATTAAGAAGAGGTCTGAAGTGTGTCTTAGGTGGTAGTTGCAAGCAGGAGATTTGAGGGTGTGTAGGCATGAGTCAGTGGATAATGTTCTGCTGGAAAAAGAAAAGCTACCCCAGCAATATTTTCTTTCTGCTCAGTCTACATATTTGTCTATTTATTCCTGCACTTATGCTACCCTTTATGGAGTTTGGTGTTTGCAAGTTTCTCACTTATTGTAGACTCTGGGTCTGTAGTTCTCTCTTGTCCAGCAAGAGAGCAGATGCAGGATTGAAATGTGAGAGAGACTAATGTCCCAGAGGAGAAAAGTGCCCAGAGTAAGGGTCCTTGCTCCGTTTTTATTAGGATCAGAAGGCTTATATGCTAACTAATTTGGATGTAAATTAAAAAAATAAAATAAAATTGAAAATAAAAAAAAAAGGAAGGCTTATAAACCTGATGGGTGTGCACAAAGAGACAATGAAACTGTGAACATTAACTCATGGGCATGGGGGCAAGGGAGTTTTGAAGATATGTGGTGTTAGGGGTTTGGGTCAATACAAAACAAAATTCTGGTGCTGGGCATAAGGTTGTTTATAGCATACACGAGGCCCCACCTGTTTACCTAAACTGGCCTAGGGTGCAAGAAAGACCGAGCATGCTACCTCAGGGCCAACAAGGCACCTTTCTTTTGCTAATTAGCTCCACTCTTGGCAACTTTGCCCTGCTGGGGTCTAAAGTCCTGTTTACCTGCTTACCTATTTTGGTCCTTCCTTCCTGTGAAAGCAGCTTTCTGCTGTTGTACTAAGTTGAGGGACGTTTCCACCCTGAATTCCTAATCTTGTTTACCTCAGTTTTCATGCTTTCATCCTGAGGCCTTTCTATTCCTATATCTTTGTCCTATACTGGGGGACTTTGCCCTGTTTACCTAATCTTGTTTCCCCAAACTTGGGTGTGTTCATCCTATGACTTTCTAATTCTTTATGCCTCGTTAACCCATCAGTGCAGGCTCTGGAACTCCTAAGCTTATTCCCCACACTCACTGACAACACTTTTCTGGATTTGGGGGTTCTCATTATGAATAAAATAAAAGAAGTTGGAGGGCACCTGAGTGGCTCCATTGGTCGAGTGTCTGACTTCGGCTCAGGTCATGATGACACGGTTCATGAGTTTGAGTCCCTTGTCGGGCTCTATGCTGACAGCTCAGAGCCTGGAGCCTACTTCGGATTCTGTGTCTCCCTCTCCATCTCTGCCCCTCCCCTGCTAGTGTGCGCGCGCGCTCTCTCTCTCTCTCTCTCTCTCTCTCTCTCTCTCTCAAAAATAAATAAACATTAAAAAAAAAGTTGGAGAGTTGATATATCAAAACTTACGCTTACAGAGTAGATGTTGGAAAAATGATTAGCAAATGAAACCCAAGTAAAACTGGAAAGGAGACAAGCTTCATCACTTATTAATATATTTGAAGTTTACTGACTTTGTCCTCAATGATTTGCTGAAATATCTTTTAGAGCGAGGTCTAACACAAAATCAGTTTATGGAATAGAACCCCAGTTGTAGCGTAAACAAAGAAAAAGTTTTTGTGTTTGTTGTTCATATTATAACGTTATAATGCGTATTGTGTATGCATTATATATAACGTTGTTCATATTATAAGGTTCATAATGCATATCCGAAAGATGGTGGAAATACATTTCAGCCCGTTGTAGAATTGGGCAGAGCCCTCCATGTGGAGTGTGATGTTGTGAATCTCATTTGCAGTACACCATCAGCCATACCCAGCTGGAAACAAGAACTCTGCAGCTCTCAGTCTGGCATTATGATCGATTTGGACGTAACAGCTTCCTTGGGGAGGTGGAGATTCCTTTTGACTCATGGAATTTTGAAAATCCAAGTGATGAGTGGTTTGTGCTTCAGCCCAAGGTAGGAAATGCTTCCAGATTAATTAAACAGTTTTGCAGTGAGACAAGTTATGAACAAAATTGATGTCATAGGCCTAAAGAATCTGAAGACGTCTAATATTCAAGTGATAATCTGAACAGATTAGTGCAGCTAATTTTGAAATAATAAAATAAACGTAAATCTGTTCCTTGGAACTCCTCCTTTAATACAGACTGTATAATGCAAGTCACATCATCGTGTATATTATTAATTTGACTTGCTAAAAATGTATTCATCATTTGAAGGTCTCCATGGATAAACAAAAGGAACGCATTATGTGATCCTATCATAATAGAAAGTACTCAATTTCACATAAGCAAAAACAGATCCATAGAGCCAATCGGTATCAAAGCATTCTATTCCTGATTCTCCACTATTCAGACAGACCGAAGCAGGAGTGATCTTGCCTTGGCTCACATAAGGAAGTAACCAGTAGCTAAAGTATCTGGTTTTCTACATTCCCACTTTTGAGATTCATAACCTAGGTCTTGAGTTATATTCGGAAAAACCATCTTAAAGCTGATTCTAGAAATTAAGTGCAATATAGCATGTTCTGAACGAGACCAGCAGTACCTTGGATTCACTCTATGCAACGGAGTCTCTCTACAGTAATTTTTTAAGTCAAAAGTGAGATTAAAAAAAAAAAGGTCACATTTATGTAACCAAAGATTGTTCTTTATATACAGAGAGGCAAAAAGAACATGATGGTAAAGAGAGTAGACTCAAATCAGACTTTCTGGGTTCAGTCCTGGCTTCGTGACTGTCTGTGTGACCTTAGGCAAATTATTTAACTTCCCAGGCTTTGGTGTTCTCATTTGTGATACAATAATTGGATATATCTTACTGGGACGTTCTGAGGCTTGAAGAAGCACCCTATATGATGCTCACAGTACTGCATGAGGCACATTTTAAGCTCTGAGTCAATGCTAGGTAGTATTTATGTTACATTATAGTCCCTATGTTGCAAGTGACAGAAACCCCAGCTCATATTGCTCAAAAAATAAAAGGAAATTATTGGCCAGTGATTATCAAGCATGGCTTGATCCAGATGCTCAAATCTTATCAAGGCCCTGGACACTCTTGGTCTCTCTTCTGTCTGTCGGCTTCATTTTTAGACCTCATGCAGTTGGCTTCCCTCACTGGTTCCAGTATGCTTCTCTTGGCCACTACAACACGTGGAAGCCTCTCATGCTTGCACCACACTGTCCAGGAGAAGAAAGATTTCCTACTCCTCCAGCAGTCCAACCAGTGCCCTGGGCCTGGTTCTCATTCTAATTACATCAGTTGCCCATCCTAAGCTAATTGCTGTGGCCAGCCGGGGAGGTGGGGTACATCAGCTGACTTAAGACGATCAGAACATACTCTGGTCCTGAAGGCCCCAAAGGAAATCTAAAGGAATGGTGGGTGAGTTGATGCTAGACAGAAAAACATGCATTGATCATCATCAATAGCAGCACTGTTCACAGCTAAAGGTGCAACAGACATTGTGAGATAAGTGTCATTATTTCCTTGTTATGTGTGGAGATTGAGGCTCAGAAGTTACATACAGCTTTCTGGTGGAGTTTTATAATTGTAGACCTTAAGCTTGGTGTGAATAATTCATGGAAAATCTTCGGGAAGTATATTTGGGCTGGGGTAAAAGTGATAATAAAATATAATAAAAGTCCTTAAAATAACTGCAAGCCCATGACTCACATAAATATGATAAAAATAGGAAGTGCAATATTAACAAGAAATAAGTCCACAGTAGAATTAGCATTCCCCTGACATGAACTAGGGGAAATATTTGGTCATTACAACACTAAGTCTCTTGGAATTGAATGACAAGCCCTACAATAAAGGATAGCACTTAATCTGACTTCACAGTCTCCTATCACTGTCTTCCTTTTGTGCATAATGGGTGAGCACCATAGACTCTTAAGTTAGAAAATGTTTGAGACATTATGTGATGCAGGACACAGATGAAGGACAAGTAACATTCATTTCAATACATAAAATTGTCTGTCATAAATTTAACGTTAAAACACAGAGGGGCTATTTGGAAAACAACTTGGAGGCTTCCAGACAGTTGCCCGGAAATGGTTGAAGGATGTGCACTGGGGCGCTATCTGAGCTCTCCCAGGCATCCTCTGTGCTCAGGGACCAACCACTTTCCATGGCAATCACCTTCACATTACCACCGAGTGATTTCACTTTCTATCGTAAGGGAGAAGTAGTTCTCTGAGCCTGCTCAAAAGTTCTGATTGCATTTAATGTCTTTCCAGAGAAAGGAGCTCTGACTCCTTGGTCCTCTACCAGGTCACCTTGGATTCCTTTCACCATGACTGTTAGGAGTTTTGTCTCCAACAGCTTTCACCTGAGTCTCTGTTTAGAAGCCTCTCCTCAGGCTGCTGTAGCTTTTTCTCACGTGAGCAGAGAGCCAGAAGCTCCTAGGAGCTTACATACGCCCTGCCACAAAGCAACCCTTTACCAATAACTAATAGATGGGGGAGTCTGAAAGCACAGTTAATTCCCTGAGAGCGGTGGGGGGAGGGGGGCGGCAAAAGGAGTGGTGCCCCAAGGCATTACTTAGACTCTACAGCTTTGCTGCTGGATCAGGCTATGCCCTTGCCTGGCTTCCTCTCCTTCCCTGACCTTTTTCCCATCGCCCCTTGGCTGGTCTATCCTGGGAGCAATTCTTTTGTTGAGTGCTTTATTTTTATTTTTTATTTTTTAAATTTAAATCCAAGTTAACATAGAGTGTACTAATAATTTCAGGAATAGAATTTAGTGATTCATCACTTGCATATAGCCCCTAGTATTCATTCCAACAAGTGCCTTCCTTAATGCCCCTCACCCCTTTAGCCTTCTCCCTGCCCAACACCCCGCCAGCAACCCTCAATTTGTCCTCTGTATTTAAGAGTCTCTTATGTTTGTCTCCCTCTCTGTTTTTATCTTATTTTTGCTTCCCTTCCCTTATGTGCATCTGTTTTGTATCTTAAATTCCACATATGGGTGAAATCATATGATATTTGTCTTTCTCTGACTGACTTATTTCGCTTAGCATAATACATTCTAGTTCCATCCATGTTCTTGCAAATGGCAAGATTTCATTCTTTTTGATCACCGAGTAATATTCCACTGTGTGTGTGTGTGTGTGTGTGTGTGTGTGTGTGTGTGTGTATACACACACACCCAATCTTCTTTATCCATTTATCAGTCAATGGACATTTAGGCTCTTTCCATAGTTAGGGTCACAGTGCTGCTGGTCACAGTGGGGTGCATGTGCCTCATCGAATCGGCACTCTGGGAGCAATTCTTAATAAGTCACGTGCATAAGAATGCTCACTTCAGAGTCAGCTTCTGGGGAACTCAATATAGTTCACGTCTCTAATCCAGATCATCTTTCTCTGCAAAGAAATAGATGACACCTATGGATACATATAAGTGTCTCTGACACGCATAGAGGAAAGCCTGCAGATTCGGCCTCGCTTAGGTGCCATGCCTTCCAGAAATGGGGAGGGCAGGTGCACTATAACTCTGTACACTGCCTCCTGTCCCTTAGTGGCCTGTCCTCAGGAGGAGCTGGGCTCTGTGTGGGCTCTGTAGTTACAGCTATGAGAGATGTCACTTCATTTTCAGTCTCCTGTCTCAGACGCTTCAAGGCAGTAGTCACTTCATCAGCTGTACCTACAGGATGAGCAGCCCGGAGTCTTGATGTTTTCTTGTAGATTATCCAGCTGAGGAGGTAAAGTGTAAGCTGCAGAGAACCGATTTCTTTAGTGATAGAGGATCAGAATTAATAGTCCTTTTAAGCATTTGGAAATAATGACATCCTTTTGCAGTGGGAATACTGGAAGGACAGAGTGCCTTATTTCTTATTGACTCTGTGTTAGTGAAAGTCCCTTGCCACCTGCCTTTGTCTTTGCTAGGTCTTACAGCACTAAGCTGGTGAGGAGGCTGGTGCAGACAGAGAAAGAGCTCAAGACGTCACTCGTACTGTAGTTTCACAGTATAACTTCTATTTCACTGCATGACATGAGCTTGTTTAGCTTGTTTAGCTTGTTTAGCTGTAACTCATTATCTTTCTGAAAGGCATGTTAGGTAGTTAGACAAGAAGTGTTTGTCAGTATGAATTGCCTTTCATGTCTTCCCAGAAGGTGCTATTATAAAAACAAGGAGCTTTGAAAACCAACAGCAAGCTCAAGTGTTTTCCAAGGAAATCTTCTCTGTTCTACCTTCAGGCAGAGAGTAAATGTAAGTTCCTGTGAAATTATTACCTAGCTAAAAGGCTCTCTCTGTATTTGGCAGTTTGGGCAGACACTTGTCCATAATTTATTACCACCACCTTACACCTATAAATGTACTAGAAACTCCGCTTTCAACTCTGATGGAATGTGGATCTCTCTTTTCAAAATGCAGACGATAACAGGTGTTACCTGATGACGCCACACCTCTGCTTGGTCCTCTGCCTTCACTGGTTCCCAACTGCTTATGGATATGGTTTGAATAAATCCTAACCCATCACCCTGGTACTTAGTGGCCCCTTGATATGGCCCGGCCTTCTGTAACAGAGGAGGATGCCAGTGCTCTACCTATACCCCCACATTCATGCATATGTGGTTCCCCATGGCTTTCATTCACATAAGCCAACACCTACCAGTCTTTGTAGGCGAGGAGCCAGCCCTTAAGCTGCTGATGTGGTCTTGGTCTGTGGGAGTGGAAAGCCAGAGCAGCCTGAGTAAGTTTCCTGGAGGTTGAGGGCAGAGCCCTTGATCAGTAAGTGATGGGTGAAGGAACATACATAATAAACACTCTGATTCCCTTGTCTCTGGTTGAGACAGCTCTGACATGTGATCTGTCTTGTCTCCAAAGCTCCCCTGTGGGACTGAGCAAGTTGCTCACCATATAAAACTTTGCCTGATATCACAGCCTTCTTAAGTCTGTCTTCATTTTGTGGTCCCACTTCTCCACTCCCTTTCCTAATAAAACACTCTAAGATA